TAGCGCTTCGCCGGTAGGCGACCTCGGCGATTTAAGAAGTAATTGCTCCTTATATATTTTGGTGAAGATACAAATTATAACAAGATATTTTTCATCAAATCGCCGAGGTCGCTTGCGGGCGAGGCGCTAGTATCATCCATAGCTGACGATTTCGTATGGATATATCAAATGCAGCGCCTCGCCCTCAAGCAACCTCGGCGATTTGAGAAAAAGTCGTTGCTTATATATTTTGATGAAGATACAAAGTCTCCAATAAGACGACATTTTTCATCAAATCGCCGAGGTCGATTGCGGGCGAGGCGCTGGTATCTTCCATAGGTGACGATTTGGTATGGATATATCAAATGTAGCGCCTCGCCCGCAAGCAACCTTGGCGATTTAAGAAGAAATCGTTCCTTATTGTGTCAAATGTCTGGAATATAGTCAATAACTTCGCAGTTTATGGTTCTAAAGAAAAATGTTTCAAATACAAATTTCTTTATTAATCATGGCGATATTTGCTTCTTTGTATTGTTTTTTGTTTCGTTGCTATGGCAACCAACATTGGTATTTTAAATGGGATGCATATATTTTTTTTGCAATTTGTGTATCCGGGTAAATATTATTGAACAGTGTACAACCTTCACTTTCAGTGCGTTTTCTATCACCTGCACCGTACACATACATTATTAATATTTGGATTCTTTGTCGTTCGCTCAATTGCGCCATATTTGTTTAAACTGTCAATTTTTTGACATTTAAAGCTGTCAACGGCGTTATTTTGACGCCTACCTTGATTGTAATTTGCTGATTTAATATTTTCAGAGAACGCATTTTTTCTCAATTTTCTTCTTATACAACCATATGATTTGCTAGGTTCATCGCGTGGAGGGATTTATCCTCTATTAAAATGTGCAAAATAAACGTATGCATCCCATTTAAAATAACAATGTTGGTTGCCATAGCAACGAAACAAAGAAGTTCATGAAGCCTGGGTATTCGAAATAGTAGAGCCAAAATGGCGGTTTGACAGCTTGTCAGTGCTAAATGCCAAATGCCGTCTTGTTGCCTTTGGAGTTACAAAAATAGCAGTAAGAAGGGCTTCGATTCTTCAGAGTACCACGAGAGAAAAAAAACAAAGGAAATTTGGCGTAATTTTATCAACAGAACGACGTAGTCTTAAATTTCCCTCTTCATTTTCGAGCCAAAATGGCGGCAAACCGCGGTACTTTGATAATCTAGGGACTTTAATGTAAACAAGCAAGTATCGCCAAAAAATGCGCCACAATTAATAAAGAATTTTTTGTTTGACACATTTTTCTTTAAAACCACAAATGGCGAAGTTATTGGCTATATTCCAGACATTTGACACACCCTGTATATATTATGGTGACGGTATAAAGGCTTCAATAAGACGACATTTTTCATCAAATCGCCGAGGTCGCTTGTGGGCGAGGCGCAAGATTTTTTACATCAACTTGAAATCGTCAATTTTGGAAGATGGAACTGACGAATTGAGATCTAAATTTATGGAAAAATTGATGAATTTGATGACATACATTCATTTCTCTTTGAAAGCAAGCAACGCTACCAAGAAATTATTAAAGAAGTAGAAGCTATAAAGAAAATAAGTAAGAAATCGAGTAAGAAGACGAAGACAGCAGAGGAAGTGGATCACACATTATTGGATGTTTTTTGTATTTTGGAAACTCCCAACGTGTTGCAGTCGTACAACGGACGAGAATTTGCTAATTGGGTAATTGAAGAGTTAATTAAAGTATGGCCTGAGCTAGCAATAGTCCATGGCAAACCCAGACACTCGCAAAGTCAAGGGAGTGTGGAAGGTATGTTATTTATGTGGATGAAAGGCAATAAGACTAAGCATTGGAGCGAAGGTCTTCGTTTTTGTCAGCTTCAGATAAACAATGCATACCATAGAAGAACACGACAAACACCTTTTGAAGTGATGTTCGGTAAGTAATAACAGTTATTGCCTGATTCTATCAAAAAAGTTCTTAGAACTTGCAACTACAGCGGAGCAGGAAAATTCCACTCGTGGTCCTAATGCAGAAAGTGTTGGAGGATCAACTCCGTTTTCCGATGAAGAGAATACTAAAGGAACAACTCTCGCCCTTGATGTTGATATGGCAAAATTGGAACCTGTTTGTTGTATATGCAAAAAAGAAATTTCAGGAGTCCACAAGTGTTATAGCTGTGCATGAAGTTTTATGTCTTCAGTGTGCAATAAGAAAAATGATGACTTCAAATCCAGAGGAAGCTGTCGAAGGATAGACAGAGAAAATGAAGTTTACAGCTAATAAAAAATTTGGAACATCAGTTACTGTGCCTGTTCCAAGTCTTGATAGGAGCAAAAGAGATGCGCGAAACTTAATTAGCGTAGTTTTGGAAACAACGAATGATGAACTCGCTGTAGTTTTGAAAACTCTCTGCGTCAGATTAGTAGCCAAAACTTTGCCTTCGGGGGCCAAGGGTTTTTGAAGTGTAACTGCAATAAGAAATGTCAAACAAATTTATGCAAATATAATAGGGCCAAAGTGCTTTGCAACTCGAAATGTCACCATTCAGACTCATATAGACTCACAGTTTCTTATACAGTGTGTCCCAGGATAGATGTTACAAGATATATGACTTAAAAATTTTTGAATTTTATCTTAAGGCTGAGGAATTAAGTCCTGCTTGGTGCGGAGAGAATTTTAAGTAAATTTTTATATTTTGAAAATCAACTCGGCCTTAATAGTAAAGAGAAAACTAGTTTTAGTTCAGGAAAAGTTATTTATTTATTCAACATAACATCCACATTTTGTTGCACACTTTTCTATACGATGCCTAAATTCTCTAAAGCTGTTCTGAATTTCTTCGATGCGTATTTGTCGTATAGCATTTGTTATCCGTTTTTTTTAATATTTTTCCATTGTTCGGTATTGGTTGAGCGAAAACTAGTTGTTTAAGGCGACCCCATGAAAAAAATCTAATATTGTAAGGTCGGGAGACCTTCGACGCCACGCAATTGGAGCATTTCTAGATATAATTTTTTCTCGAAATATTAAATTTAACCTTTCAGCTACACGTGCTGTTGGAAGTAAATTGCCTGTCTTTCTATCAGCAAAAAAAAAATCTTATCTAACATATGGTGGTTTAATCAATGTAGGTAGATCTTTCTGAAATTTTGCATTGTGCCACAATTTCTCATTCTGAACAACTCTTCTTAATGATATTTTGCCGTATCAGGAACAAAAAGTTTACTATCAAGGCCAAGTTGGTTTTCAAAATATGAAAGTATACTTAAAATTCTCTCCACACCAAGCAGGGCTTAATTCCTCAGCCTTAAAATAAAATTCAAAAATTTTTAAGTCATTTTACCTCTTCTAACATCTATCCTGGGACACACTGTATAATCTTACGTATTGTTATTTTTTGTATGTTTTCAATTTTTTTTTTAATCAACAAAGATAGAGTTTCTATGTGACAACTTGTTGGTAACACTGATAGCAGTAAAGAGTGTTTTGAATGTGCGCACTCTAAAATTTTCTGCGCATCCTTAATTTGCCTAACTCACTTAGGCAAAGTCCGAAGTTAATTTACACTTTTCAAATTTTGCCTGAGCCTTATTTGGCACACCTACTATCTGTGCAAAAAGTCAAGGCCCCTCACTTTAGAGATCGATATCTTCGCAACCGCTCCATAAAAAAAATTGCAACAAAATTTGTTGTAATCACTGAACATTTCTACGTAACTTATGTTAATCTGAAAATTTTCGGATCCACGGTTTTCTTGTTACCGCGAGTTAAATGAAAAATGTACCCGATTTTTTACGGAATTGTCAAGTTTATCAACTTTGCGATTTTTTTTCTCGAAAACTATCGTACGAAAAAATTTTAATTTTGAACAGGTGGTAGTCTGATGTGTTCTCAATGAGTGGCATGTTTTATTTTTTCGATATTTCATACAGTTTAATCGCGGTTTAGTAAGACGCCGTTATGTCGAAAACGGTTGGGTGGATTTCTTCGCGGATTTGACCAAAATATGTCAAATAATGTTGGTTGTCGGATTCCGTTATCAATTTTTCAATATTAAGGCTCTCTATTTTTTTAAGAGCGATTTAATGGAATTACAAATTAAAAAGAAACAGAAATAAGCTCTGCAGGGTGACGAGGGTTCCGGCCAATCGGAACAGATGGTGCGTCCCAGACAGGACGTCGCGCCTTATTTCTTTATGTAGGCAAGATAAAGGCGCGACGTACAGTCTGGGACGCACAGAAATGTTCACTGATTACAATAAACTTTACAGCAATTTTTTCCATCGAGCGGTTACGAAGATATCGATCTCTAAAGTGAGGGGCCTTGATTTTTTGCACGGATAGTAGTTGCATACAAGACAAAGCTTGGAATTAAAAGTTAGTCTTAGAAGAAAATAAAGAAATAAAGTAAGCATAATAAATTAGCCCTGCTGATTAAAGCTTTGGAATAACTGATTTTTAGTTTCAACCCCAAATAGACATAATAATCATAATTTTAAAACATAAAAATTTTTAGAGAATTATAATAATTAATAACCGATTTTAAAACGTAACAATAACACATATAATTTTAATTATTTTTTTGAGCTCATATTGTATTCTTAATCCGTATTTATAAAAACTAAAGATCGATTAGGCGAAAAGACACACAAAAACCTATTATAATACTATTAGATAAATATTTGGCAGCTTTCATTTTCATTTAAAATTAAATAAAAACAATTGTGATACAAAGTGGATATGAAAAATCTACTGAAGGCACTATCATTTATTATTAAATTTACCACCTATTATTTAATTATTTATTATTAAACGTATAAACCGTATTAATTAACTTTTGATCAGCACCTAAATAAAGAAGCTCATTTTGTATACAAATATAGTTATAAAAAAAATTGCACGACCAAAATAAAAACACAAAAGTCAATTAATTAAAAATTAACTTTCTTTTAAGCACCACTTTTTCTTATTTTTTCCAAACCAAAAATATGACTAGAAAGAAAATGATAAAACGAAAAATGTTGATTATAAAACAAAAACGATTCAGTCTGTTTTTACATTTATAAGTAAGTACATTTTTTTATGGTGGTTTTTTTCGAAATCAAGTACTAAAATGTGAACATTTTCGAAGCGAAAAAAGTTGTAAAATAGGACGATTCGATTCGAAGAAGCGCATCTGGTGTAAATAAGGAAGAACGAAGAACTCTACCGTGTCCGTTGAATGTCAAATAGGAAGAACCTTCCGCATGACGTGACGTTGCAAAGCAATGCCCTAACGGGGCTCCGTTTTCCCTCTCAACTTTTGGTTATATAGGACGAGGAAGACACGTTCCCGAACAGGAAGAAGGAACAACAAGTAGGATGCGAATTGCGCGTGATCGACGTCATTTCCTTTTTAATTAACAGTTTTTATTTCTTCATCAAATCATCAAATAATAAGTACTTGATTTCTTTTTATTAAAACAAAACCACCAATATTAACTTCTAAACCGTTTATAATATAACGGTTCATTTTTGTTTAACCGGAAGGAATATTAAATTAAACTTTTCGTCACTTCCTTTTAGAGAGGTCGAGTTCACCCTGACCGTTCGTCGCCATAACGGATAACGGTATCAATAGTTGCGACCCGTGAGGAAGATTTTGATCGTTGGTCCTTGCCAAACCAAAGATAACATTTCCGTTTGATGGCGCTGCGTACATTAAACCGTGAGGTGTTTGATAAACAACACCGGAAGAGGCGATGGGTTGTGAAGTTGTCGTTGAGGGTTTTGATGAATTTGTGGAATTTGTTGAGGATGAAATTGGTATTGTTGAAGAAGATGTAGTACCTTGGGTTGTTGTTGTTGTTGATGGGGATAATTGATGTTGGGATGATTTTGATGTGGGGAAATTAGCCGGGATTATAATTGAGGGGGAATTTTCTTTCAAATCTTCCGTTACTTCACCATCGCTGCTATCCCCGGTTGAATCACCTCCGGACATATTGTCATCCTGAAAATAAACAAGATTTATTAAAACATTGAATATCGCGTTCGTTTTTGCATAAAACAAATTATTAAGAGTTAAGAAAGTGATATTGCTAGTTCGCGTTTGATTACCATAACGAAATGGTCATAAATTAGCGATAGAACGAAACGTGTGTCGCTTCGGCTAAAGAAGAAGAACTCTTCGGGAGTTGTCCGGTTTGTTGGGTCCGGGCCGAAGCAGCAGCAGCAGCGGCGCGGTAGACAGATAGCGGTTCTCTTCTCGTCTTTTCCTGACCCTGCGCCCGGCTCTCTTGTGCTACAGGTTCAAGATGCCTTCGTTCGCGTTTCTTTTGATCTTAATCGGGCCGACGGCGGCAACATATGGCCGGAAAAGGGGCTCCCGGTGCCCGAATTCGCGCCCCATTCGACAAAACGCCGATACCTTTCGCATCAACACACCAAAATAAACGAATTTCATTCGAAAAATCATCTTACTACTAAAGAATTTTACTATTATAGCGTCCCACTATGAAACGACGTCTCGTAATTTGGTTACGGACGAAAATAGATTTATATTTTCGGAACGGGTTAACAACGTAGGTAAAGTTTAAGATGAGTCAAAGAAGAAAATTTTCGGTGTGGAATGAAAATTTATAGGACGAGTACTTCGTAAGCGACAAATACGACATTTTACGAATGTTCTCCTTTGATAAACGGTTCGAACACGGCGATCCGTCAATTCGTTCTTTGGTAACTGCAAGTAAAAAACCTTTTCTCTTCGCCTCTCTTCACTCCCGACTAACTCCATGAGTAACCTGAAGTAGAAGCAAGATTTTTAACTTGAAGAGTCTCGTTGTCGCAACGACGAGGGGTTTTTTCCCTTGAACTCTCCATTTGGCGATGAATTCTCTCTTCCAGATGTGCGGCTTTTCCCCCCTTCAACACTTCTCTCTTCTCAACTCTTCGATTTCTTCTTCTTCTTCTTCTTCTTCCTTCCTTCGGCGTGTCTTCGATCTTCGGGTCGGGACGATAACAGAAAGAGGCTATAATAGGCATCGGCAAAGCCGCGCAGTCTGCCGATGTTATGCTCAACGGCGACCGGTCTCAACGTCCCTGCAACTCTTCCGATCTCTTCGTCCTTTTCAAATTTGGTATCTAGACGACGACGAGAAGAACGACGGCAGAAGCGTAAATCTACGTGTGCGACCAGACTACTAATTAGACGAATTAATCCTGGAAATCGGAACGGGAGATTTATATGTGCGACGGTCTTTTTAGAAACCGTAAAAATAACTTGCGTTCTTTGCGTTTTCTCAACGCGCTTCAAACCTATTTTAGACAACTAACTCACAAATACTTATGATATTATCTACCTCTATATTCATTATTTAAATTACATTTATTAATATCTTTACTTATTTTTGATGCAAAGTTATAACAAACTATATTGTAAATTGAAACACTACTTATGGCAAAAAGAAGGGGAAGAGAATAAGATACTGTAACATTTTAAGCAATCAATAGTGATCCCAATACACAAGAAAGGGAATACAACATTGCTGCAAAACTATAGGCTTTATCCAAAACTATGTTGAAAAATTTAAGTTAATATCCCCCAAACAATATTCTTGGATCTACCAAAAGCATTTGACTCAGTAAACCACCAGGGTATATCCAACACTCTATTTTACAATTATTTAATGGACCAAACGCAAATAATCAAAGTTGATGATGTGCATAATTCAGATCAAACTATTAAAAATGGCGTGCCTCAAGGAACAGTTTTGGGACCCTTATTATTTAATATTTATATGAATATCTTATCGAATTCTGACATTACGAGGGATATAACATGCTTTCCTGATAATACTGTTGTCGTATATTCAGATACAACGTGGGATGGGGTGAAGGTTAAGGCAGAGAGTGACATAATTAAAATATTTGATTGGCTTTCTTATAATCGTTTGACAGTGAATGTGGACAAAACATTTTTCAAAACATCTCGGAGTGGTCATTGATAGGCACATTGAAAGTATATCAAGAACATTGAGAACTTTATTGTTTAAATTCAAATATTTAAGCTGCATACTCAATGTTTATCACTTAAAGATTATTGTTTGGTAGAGTCGAGGCTGCGCTATGGAATTTTGGCATGGAGATATTAGGAAAGGAAAATTTGTACCCATTAGCACACCTATATTCGGAGTTTGGAATTTTGGATGTCCGGAAGTTATTTGTATTGGAAGTTATAACTTATACATGCAAATATAGACATCTGCTAAAGCCGTGTGTCCACTACCAAGTTTTCTTGCGGAAGTTGCTTCCAGAAGTGACTTCCAGAAGTTTTTGTCGTGTAAACACGTATGTTTTTGTCGTGTTTACAGGACAAAAACTTCTGGAACTCACTTCTGGAA